TTACCGTCATCGTTGCCCTTCCATGTACCGTCATCTTCCTTGAACGATGCTCCCCTGAAACCGCAACACCAATGCATGTATGTTTTGTGACATTTGGGTTTTTAGTTGAGGTTTTATCTAGCAACCCCCGCATGGAATATATATAAAAGTATAATTAGATACAGATAGATACATTAAGATGAATACTATAACATGTATAATGTATATACATAAACCTTCTTAAATACTTCTTTACCCTAACTTTTAAAGACACACATCTCTTTTTACACCAAAGTTAGCGAAATTAGTCCTTAAGCACAATATATTTATACGATATTTAGTTAGAAATAAAAACGCGTTTTCAAATAAACGTACTTGTTACAAGGCAACACGCAGATACCACAGCACTTCTCCATTCCAGACAGATTTTTCTCGGCCTCACGCATGTCTGCGTTTATCTGGTCCATCCCCTCCTCAATTCTATCCAATTGCTCTGTTTACACAAATGATTACTAAGTATCGTCCCTTCAAAAGCTTCAGGTATAAAAGCATGTAACATTTTTCGCGACACTTCGTGTTTTCGTAAATTCTCAACGCTCTCGACAAATACCAGAAAAAGTGTGAGACATTCTTCAAATTCCTTTTATAGTGCAATCTGTTTTTGAATAATTCTTTACGGTGTCACAGTCATTCTGGTTTAACAAAATCTAATTTTACTTTTACCTTGATAAAATGATGTATGTGCGGAATCTAAGTGATATCAAATACTGATAACTAACATTTAGATCAAGTAGTAAGTACTACTCATGCAGTCAACAGCTTAAAATCGTGCATAGCTAGATGCGTGAGAGAAAAACAAAAAAAATGATTTTTCAATTAAATCTCCACACCTTCGGAAGTTCATTTATATCTATTTTAATATATGGTGATGACATTTTACCTCTAGTTATCCATATATTTTATTGTTAGCATATTTCCAATCGTAAAATTCAATGAACTTTCATAAACTGGTATTTTAGACAAAGCCTTACTAATGAGGAAGTAGTTCTACTGGATGCTTACCGCCCTGTTCATCCAGCATGACCAGGGTTTTCATGCCCACCTCGTGACTCTACAACACAACAATGACGTCACTATAGCTCGCCAATGAGAGGGCAGGCTGCGACACCTCGCCCCGCATCTCGGTATAGTAAACTTAAAATGATAACAAAAAAAAAACAAAATACATGAATATGATCACGGTGAGTCGCAGTTCGGCGGGCGGCCGCTCCTCTGTGAAATGATCTGAGCAAGTCAGCGTTAAAGCCATTATTGGATGAGTGATAGCAAGTGGTTCGTGGGCGGGGCCGCCCGCCGCAGACACTGATCGCATCGAGCTAACAGTAACAGACCTACTGCACTAACATTAATAGTACGCTGCTAGCCATGTAGATGAAGGCGGATACCATAAATACTCTACACGTCAACACACAATCGGTCAACGCGCAAACATATACCGCATAAAGAGAAGAGAGATTCGAAAAGATAAATAAATATACCTATAAAAAGCGTTCCGATCGACAATAACGGAAACTAAACAGATTGCGCAGCTCATTCAAATTAAATCTTCAGCAAAGGATAGATAGTAATAGTTTTGGCGACAATTAGCAACGAACGGCCATCGGGCTTCTCTATTTACACTATGTTGTCATAATCATCCCCATCGAAACATAGAAACATACGCAACATCGATCTGAGATAAGTCGTTAAGAGAAACGTCAAAGAAAAACAAAGAGATTAATTTATTATACTGCACATTCAACACAGACGTTCTCACGACTCGACTACCCACGTTCAAGTTAACTCTTACCGCCCTGGTGACTCAACATATGAAGCGCTTGCCCCCCGGCGTCCTCGCTCTATACATAAAATACAAATCAAAATAATATCGCAGGAGAGAGTATCGGGGGTGTTGGGTGGGTCGGGTGCTGAGTGCGCGGTGCCAGAGAGGCCGCACGGGTGCTGCGTGCGCGGTTCAGCGGCGGTCAGCGGCGCGTACGCCCTACGCGGCGTGCGGCGTGCGGCGTGCAGCGAGCGCTGAGCGACGCGCGGCCGGCGGACTTCTTCCTCTCTCCGTCGTTCTTCTTTTGCCCCTCCGCCGACCGCGACCGCTCGGCGCTAACACACACTACTCGAACAACATGCATGCAGTGAAGCTTGCAGGTAAAACCAGATTAAAGTCGTATTTGTGCTCAGTTTTCCATGATTTATGAATAATTTTGTGTGATGTTAAGAGTCGTGCGTTGAGGAGAAGCGTTTCGAATTTACTTCAGACGATTTTTTCGGTTATGTGATTTAAGTAAGTCGAGTTTATTATTTGATATGCGGAATGTAAAAGTATCGTACGATCGGATAACAATTAGCTTGTATGTTTTTATTCGAATAGGCCGGCGTCGACGTTGGAAATAGCACTCGCTGTCGAGTTGTGCAAAGTTGTGTAACTACATAACGAAAAAAATATGCAGAGATGGAGGCATTCCTGTTTAGAGCGGTTTAGATGTAAAGTTAATGTAACAGTTTCTCGGAAGCCAGCATCTTTGCACGAAAAATACAAAATGTAATCTTTAAATAGCGGTGAATCTCCCCTTGATTATTACCAAACCCATTTCGGCTGAGCGATCCAACATGGTTAGCGAAAGGTAAAATAGACAAAACTGTAAGTAACTTAGTGTTGCAATTTGCATTTCACTCACCTCCCTGGTCATCTAGAGCGACCAGAGTTCGTATGCCGGCCTCCTTGCTCTAAACCAGCCGCAGAAACAAAAAGTCAGAGAGCATGTTAGTTGTGAGGGGTATAGTGGAGTGAATGGACAGTGGACGGACGAGGTGGCTCGACGCTGCGGCACTCGAGCATCAGTGTTCAGTACTTGGTATTTAGTGTTGGAAGGGCATTTCCGACTGCCTCAACGTAACAGTCTGAAGATGCCCTAAGTCTGAACAGTGTTGAGTGATGCGAGTTGGCACTGTGTCTTCGGAACATTAGTACAGACAAGTTAGTGATACATATTAACACAATACATCTAATGTTACAAAAACAAATCAAATTATATAATATACGTGAACGATAAAATAGGGATCAAACAAAAATATCTATTAACGATAAAGTATTCGACTGTTCTGTATTTGTTGTGAGAGTTTGCAAGGTGTAGCTCGATATATCTGTTGGAGTCGTGGCACGTGTACTGCCCACACAGTTATGTGAATGTCGAGAAGGCATGAAATCATACATAAAAGATACAGTCAACAACAGACAGCAGCCACTACACAGAGACCTAGGACAGAAACTAAAAGAAGAAAGAAACAATAGACATGTTGGATTATTTGTTAAATTTGAGGTTTGAGAAAATAATGGGCAGAAGTTGCCAGTGATAATCCAACTCAGGAATAAAGTGCATTCGGAAGGTGTAATGCCAGAACGGCAGACAGTGGAAGATGGCTTCAGAAAGATTTTATTCGGAAAGCAAGCCCAAGCATTTAAGACTATGTTGAAACAAGCGCGATTTCGAACCAAATCTTGGCTAGTGGTTTGATAGACGCTAAAGGGAACGGATATTTCTATGATGGGCTTTCATGCTATGGAGAGAACTAAACCGGTCAATAGGATTTGACAGTTAAATTATTCTTAGTGTATATGTAAATTTGGATTCTAATTACAAAAAATTAACTGTCAATTCCAAAATAGAAAGAGGATATGCCAATCCACACGTAGTTTTGGTTAAACACTACGAACAACACAAAGGGCTAAGAGATTCTACCATTTGGACACATTTAGGCACGGATCATGCAACACCCATTAACGATAAAATAAATATTTATAATAAAATAAAATATGCATAAGAACGAAAAATAACTGTATATAAATCAAATAAACAGCTAGAGAATATACATACACATCGAAATAACACTAGCGACATCGAAACACAAAGGCCAAGGATAGCAGAGGCTGCGCCCTAGGGTTCGGGGGGCTTTGGGGCAAACCGAATGGGGATACGGGCTACCCAAGACACTTCCGCAATACCCCTCACTCCCTCGCATCGAGAACACCTCTCTCACAGATGGTCAAATAATCACATAACCAATGGAATAAATCAACAAAACTTGGGAACTATCGGGGAAACAAAATTTACGGAAAATGAAACACGTCTGAAGTAACAAATCCAAATCTAGCAATTTAATCGATTCTTCTTATTATAGACATTATCTGAAATTTCGAACTGCATATTAAAGAAATTGTAGGGTCATTACGTAAGGTATTCTCGACTGCCTTTACGAGAATTGATAATTATAATCTATCGGCAGATTATTTATCCAATATTTATTATCAAGTTAATCTTAAAGTTAACACGTATAATGTGGAGAGAGACGTACCTCCTCGCATAGTTGCATCATACGCCGAGTTGATTCCAGTGACTGAAATTCAGAGAAAACCGATTACTATGGAATATTAAATGATATATTATATACAAGCCTATATACTTTTACGTATGACATTGTTATGAAAACTTTCGATACTCGAAATATTTAACCACCTTAGTGATTTCAGTCGCTTGATTTGTTCAGCACCTTGAATTCATCAATTTTTTGTATTGGAAACGGAAAAATATTTCGTGCTTCACTTGGGAATTTTGTGACTACTTTTTCAGACACGATTTTCTCCACCCTAATTTTCTCCTCCCTTATAAGTACAATACCATCTCCATAAAAATCGTTAAAATATTTAGAAGTCTCAAAAGTTCAAGACATCTCAGAAATTGCATCTAGCTAATTATGCTCTTTATCGATCAAGAAAACTGATAAGCGAAACCAATACACAAAGAGTACCTTTCTTTACTTTTAAGTATGGCTTAAACTGGATATATTTGGTAATGTAATATGGCTGTTAATATTCATACCTCATCAGTAACTTCGCCGGCTCGTAATTGGAGTTGTTCCAACTCGCTGCGCGGCGCGCCATTTTCGGCTGGTGGTGTGGCAGCAGGCATCCTGAAACAAGCAGCACGTGTTATTAGTAAAACAAAGAAATATTTTATAAGTAGATTAGTTCTAAAATTAAAATGACAAAGTAATAAACGCTACTGTCAAATATATTTATGCTTTGACAATCACAGCCTACCAGAGATCTATCATGGTCCAATCATCCATGATCTATCTGATATATCATGATCAGTGATCACTATTTAGTTTAATAATTATTTTGCCTCCTTGTAAATTTTAATGGCATAATTTTTCTTTTACAATGTACGTATAATTAAAGTATTGAAGTATCTTTGACTGTCACTATAGCTACTTTGGTCTTTGGCCTATCCCTGATCATTCTCCTGATTGTTATCGTCCGGCGTCCTTTTTGACAATGCACTGTATCAGCGGAACATTCTGCCATCCAATAGAATTTTCAACTTTTCAGGAGCACACGATATTTATGATAATTTTCATACATGATTGTTGAGTTAATAATAGGCCTAATATGTATTATTCATTTCTTAAAATTTTACGATTGAAACCAATACGTAATAAATGACTTACGCCATCAATTACTCAGGTAATGAGATTACAAATTATGTAAGCTTAGATTTGTTATGGTTCTGGGCTCGACTTCAATGAATTTATATTTCCTTTACTTTACCCGATCTTCCTAAATAAATAAATCTTCCTATTTGAATAAATTTACATATGATTTTCAGAAGAAAAGAAAATTTAGCTGATTTTCTAAGTTTGACTATATCGATGCGATATTACTTTATGACATCTCAAACACTTTTTTAATACATTTCAATCATTTATACCAATAATATTCGACCTGTTACAATACAGTCTTGGACTATCTTGCTGACATTCTATTAACTCAGCATTTCCCATCGAGAGACTATTAGAAAAATACAAAGTTGTTCAGTATCATCCGTCACGGACATTGTCGCTCAATCGTAATATTTTAAATGTTATAAACACCAATGGCGCAGTAATTAGGATGATGAAAAAAGGATATGTACATCTTTCTGTTAGGACTGACCCAATCAATGGGTTTAAAAAAATGTGTTAAGGATACAAATGAACTTTATAGGCTTCACAAAATATTTGAAAAATAACATTTAAAATGGCCTAGTGGTTTCTACGTGCGACCCTGGGGTCGTAGTATCGATCCCCTGATGTATACCAATGGACCTTCTGTCTATGGCGGCATTTAACTCGCTTGTACAGTGAAAGAAATCATTGTAAGGAAACCGGCATACCTTAGGGCTTAGACCCAAAAAGTCTCGACTTGCCTATTAGAAAAGTTCACAAAACAGATACAGAAATGTGAGGATATCTAAAAGTTTGTAGCGCCAAAGTATTTTTTGGAGTATTCAAATACAATTTTTGAATAATGAACCCCTAATACCTAATACTCACGGGAGATGCCGTGCCTACGCTGTAATCGACACGCCAAGGTAACATAATTTATCAGTCTGGTCAAAATGGCTTTTTATTTCATAAATTATAACCTTAACTACTTTAATTATGATTTGTTATCACAATCGATATCATGATTAACTTACTATTTAGATCATATCATTATTATTATATAATTTAAAATAGAACCACTGAAGGTAATTTAAAATAAAGATACGATTACATATTTCGAAAAAAAGATATAATTAACATGTGAAAGAAACACGAAACTTTTTTACCGAACAATAAGAATTATTAACGACCCTCGACATGTCCCATATTATCTCCAACCGCGTATTTTCGAAGTAAATAAGCAAATCGATCGATCGCATACACTTATACATCCCCAGACATTGCACATTCCCACACACACCTCAAAAAGCAAATTATTTCACTGTTAAATCCTTTTTAAAAAAAGATGTGGATTATCAATAAACTGTTAAAAAATACACTTTTTTCAGATCTATGAGTGAGATATTAAGTTTTTGTTTTGTGTAGAAATGTTTTATTCAAACTGTTTTTTGTTTCAGAGGCCAAGACTCGCTTTGAGTCGCCAGCGAAACACGAAAGGAAGTACGAAAAAAAAAATTATAAATAAAAACCTTAAGCTAAGGTTTCTTAAAGACAGACCAGAACTTATAATGTGCACATATGAGCATATATTTACTTTAAGAAAAAACAATCACCTTTCAGGCATATAAACTAAACACTGTACACAGTAATGGCTATGCCTTATTCAACTTCTTAACAAACAGGGCGGTATGGAATGAACTCACTGAAAAATTTGTCCTGGCCACTATTTCAAAAACAAAGGTTTCGTCTTACAAATCTGTTCTCACTTGGCTTAGGCCAGTACAAGGCTCATAAATCGATCCTTAGCTAAAGTAAACAGCTACCAAACGTAATAAATAAAGAAATAATAATAAGGACTAAAACATACTTTACTCTAAAACTTTGACCTATAAATGCATTGTGGTTTTATTTCTACGTCAGCAAAGTTGTTGGTTATGAAAAAAAAAAACGCCCGCAAACAATATGAAAAGCCTGAAATAACGATGCTTGTTCTGTAGCAGACAGTTTCATTATAACTCAAGACTTAATAAAACGTCAACATTGAACTTGATAGTGAGATACTGCGTCATAACCTAGAATACGACAATTCTCGAGTATATTTCCACCCCTTTAACAAAATTTACGAAATTATTACCTATATAGCCTTCGTGACTTAGTTAACACTCATCATAACTTAAAGGTCAGCACGATCAATTGTTTCGGCTTGAGACACATTTTCCACTGGTTCCCAGACTTAAAATTACAACGAAACAGACGCAGAAATGTATAATATTCAAAATTCAAAATCATTTATTCATATAGGCAACACAATGTACACTTATGAACGTCAAAAATATATATAAATATGAACTTTTTTTTACATTTACTGCCAGTTCTCAAATCAAGGATGTAGAACGGAAGAGAAGAACTGGCAATAAACTCTCCGCCACTCTTTTTATGTCTTATATGTCGCATGTGGTCTGTGAACGAATTACTGTTGTATATGTACAACATTATTCATTTTATTGACTACATGTCTCTTGGGCTGACTCGAGCAAGCATTTGGTTTAGTTAATTCGGTGCGTTTAATCCCTAGGTTGGGCTACCCTTTAGCATGTATAAAATGAAAATATTAACAGGCTACTATTTAAACGTAAGATTCAGAGTCTTAGGCTGATATTTAAAAACAAGACTTGTTTTCTAGGAGGTTACGGACTTCACCCAAACGCACGCACACGGAAGAGCGGAACCTATTTAATAGTTAATAACATCAAAATCAAAGACAGTTTAAATAATAAAACGCCATTTAACGAACAAATTACACCTGTGATATCTGTGATAATACAATTTAAATCATTTGTTTTTCTTTAAAGTATCCTTAATCATAAAAACCAACCAATTGTTACTGTCACTATTTAACATAACAGCGTAAAATCATTAAGAATTTATTGCCAGTTCTTCTCGTCCGTTCTACGCCTTAGACTTGAGAACTGGGTAAATGTAAACATTCACGTACACTACATCGTGTTACCTAAATTAATCATATTTTAACATAGGGCTATGTAAGTCGTTTTTAAACATACAAGGAAATAATCTAATATCCCCTTGGACTTCAGTTCGTGACTTGAAAAGTAAAACCATAGAATTGCAAATCAAAAGGGAAAGTTAAGATTTACGAAAACAAGCCGTCGAGTGTTTGCTCGTAAAATTTTCAGCATGCAATAGCGTGCTCTCGACCCGACCTTTGAATTTTAATAACGGAAAGAACAACTTATAGTTAATTTAGTTGGCTTTGACATATAAACTTAACTGTAAAATAAAATTTGTAAGAAAATATTAAAGTAATGTTTTTATGTATGTATGACTTTCTAGTTATGTATATTTTTAATAAGTGTTAGTCTAGGGTGAGCTAGTATAAGCCTGCATGTCCAGGAAAATATTACTTCCGCTGTTAGAAGACGGTGCTTTTATTTTAACAAATTTCTATACTACATACTTGCGTCTGTCAAATCCAATACGTTTTGACATACGAGAGTCACACCTAGGGTTAAGTTTACTATATATGAGGGTACATCTTATTTTTAAATCGTAGAAGCTTACTTAGAGAGGTGAACATTAAACATAGTTGTTTCACACAACACCAGAAAAGAAATTCGGATATGATATTAATATATTATATATTTCAACTATAGTATCATAAATCGTATTTAGTTCTAACTATTTATTTAGGAAACACAACAGATACATCTCTATAAAATAAAAAGTAAAAAATAAAACATAAAAATTAACACATTGGATATATCCACAAAAAGTTTCACGGATAAAAATAAGATACAAAGCAAAACATGATAGAAGAACGTTAGCTAAGTAGATAATACAACACAAAATATATAGAAAGATACCAGGCTTAGGACAATAATAGTTGTTTTTAACTTATTCTTAAATGACGCAGTATAGGAGTGCGAAAAAAGGTCGATATGAGTATCAGAATCTAATGTAGAACACATTCTGTGAAGAGGCTCGCGGAACCCAATGTTGGTTCTGGGAGTCGGAAGGTTAAAGGTTCTGTGCGAGCGTAAAGACTACAATAAGTGTGAGGAGTATTTTCCAAAAGCAATAAAATATGTACCAATAATAATGTCATAGAACCCTCATCATAATAAAACCTTGACCTTGACAAGGGAGAAATATCCTTTCATTTCGGGCTAAATTTACTGTATTTTATAATATACGGAAACTGAATTCATGAAAACATACTTGTGAAATAGTCTCAGCTAGAGATGGCACACCACTTGTGTAAAATCAATAGACGCGCGCATCGCCCCCAGGCAGACCTCAACCTCCAACCACTTCAATAGCACAACCTTTCATGCACTTATTTATAAATTTATCTTTCCTGCTTTCAAATTAAACTCTTATTCGTTTTTTAAATCTCTATTTGCTATTACGAATTGAGGCTACAGATTAACGTGTAATTTGTTGTTTATTGAAAATACCGATTATT